AGGTGAGGTCTCACCAGAGCAGAGTAGAGGGGCAGAATCACCTCCCTCGACCTGCTGGCCACGCTTCTCCCGATGCAACCCAGAGTACGGTTGGCCTTCTGGGCTGCCAGCGCACATTGCCGGCTCATGTCCAGCTTTTCATCCACCAGCACCCCCAAGTCCCTCTCGGCAGGGCTGCTCTCAATCCTTTCTTCCCCCAGCCTGTATTGATACTGGGGGTTACCCCGACCCAGGTGCATGACCTTGCACTTGGCCTTGTTGAACCTCATGAGGTTCACACAGGCCCACCTCTCCAGCTTGTCCAGGTCTCTCTGGATGACATCCCGTCCTTCTGGTGTGTCAACCGCACCACTCAGCTTGGTGTCATCCGCAAACTTGCTGAGGGTGCACTTGATCTCGCTAAGTCATTGATGAAAACATTAAACAGCACCAGTCCCAGTACAGACCCCTGAGGGACACCACTCATCTTCATGAACCTTTGCTGGACTCTCTGGTATGTTCATGTCTCTGTTGTACTGCATAGTCCAGAACTGAACATGGCACTCCAAGTATGTCTCACCAGAGCCGAGTATAGAAGAATCACCTCCCTTGACCTGTTGGCAACACTCTTCCTAATGCAGCTCTCGACACCATTAGCCACAAGGACACAATGCAAGCAGCATTGTTTGACCTGTCAAACAACAGAACTCCAAGGACTTTTTCTGCCAGGCTGCTTTCCAGTCCATCATCCCCTAGTGTCTACTGGTACACAGAGTTATTCCTCTCCAGGAACAGGACTCAGCATTTCCCTCTGTGGAATCTCTGTCTGCTCACTTCTTCAGCTGTCAAGGTCATTCTTCAGAGGTGGCGGCGTGCCCATCTGGTATATCAGCTACTGATCCCAGTTTTGTTTCATCTTCTGCAAACCTCCTGAAAGAACACTGTGTTATATCATCTAGGCCATAAATGAAGATGTTAAACATTAGTTGCTCCAGCATTGACCCCTGGGGTGCATCAGTAGTGACTAGCCTCCAGAAGCACTTCATGCCACTAACCAGATCCCTGTGATTGGCTTTGGCCAGGCAGTTCAGCCAGTTTTCAGTTCATCTTGTTGTCCACTTACCTAGCCTATACTTCATAGGTTTTTCAATAACTCTGTCATGGGAGAGCATCAAAAGCCTTGCTAAAGTTAATATAAACAACATCTACAACTCTCCCCACCAGTTACCTCATCATAGAAGACTATCAAGTCAGACAGGAATGATTTCCCATTCATAAACTCATGCTGACTACTCCAAATCACCTTAATAAATTTGGAAACATTTCCAGGATTATTTTCTCTGTCATATTCCCAGGGATTGAGGCAAGGCTGACCAGCCTGTAATTCCTCTTTCTTGAGGACAGGAGTGACATTTTCTCTCTTCCAGTCCTCAGGAACCTCTCCTGATCATCATGGCCTTTCAGAGATAACCAAGAATGGCCTCACAATGACGTTGGCCAGTGCCCTCAGCACTTGCTTGTGTCTCCCACCAGGTGTCATGGATTTGTGTATCGCCAGTTCATTTAAACATTCCCTAGCCTGATCCTCCTCCACCAAGGGCAAGTCTTCCTTGCTCCAGATTTTCCCACTGGCCTCAAGGACTTGGGATTCCCAAAGACAAGTCTTGCCACTAAAGACTGAGGTGAAGACAGCAGTCAGGCATCTCATCTTTCTCTGTGCCCTCTGTCACCAGGTCTCCTGCTCCACCCATCAGCAGACCCACATTTTCCATAGTCTTCCCTTTGCTGCTGATACACTTGAAGAAGCCATTCCTGTTGCTCTTCACATCCCTTGCCACATTCAACTCCAGGATGCTTTCAGCTTTCCTAATCCCATCACTGAACTTCCAGAGAGTGGCTCTGTATTTCTCCCACGCCATTTGTCCCTGCTTCTACCTCTTGCATGCTTCCTTTTTGTGTTTGAGTTTTGTCAGGAGCTCCTTGGTCATCCGTGCAGGCCTCCTGCCACCTTTGCCTGCCTTCCTGCACATGAGGATGGACCATCCTTCAGTTTGCAAGAGACGATCCTTAAAAAACAGCCAGCTCTCCTGCACCCCTCCTCTCTCCCCCAGACCCTATCCCACAGGATTCTTCCAAGCAGGTCCCCAGACAGGTCAAAATCTGCTCCTCTGAAGTCCAGGGTTGTGATCCTGCTTTTTGCCTTGTTCCCTCCTCACAGGATCCTGAACTCCATCACCTACAGTCACTGTAGCCAAGACTGCCTGATCTTCACAACCCCAACCAGTTCTTTGCTGTTTGTAAGCATTGTGGGTTAACACCAGTAGGCAGCTAAGCACCACACAGCTGCTCAATCACTTCCCCCTCAACCCCAGTGGGATGGGGGAAGAGGAAGAGTAAAAGCAAGAAAGCTTGTGGGTTGAGATGCAAAAATTTTAATAAGCAAAAGAGAAGTGGAAGAAGAGAGAAAGAAAACAAAACAAGTGATGCAAAGGCAATCACCACGTTCCACAAGCAGGCCAACAACCAGTCAGTTCCCAAGCAAAAGATGGCTAACCTCCCTAAACCTACTCCTCTCCCTTTTTATTGCCGAGCGTGGTCTTACATGGCATGGAATAGTTCTTTGGTTAGTTTGGGTCATCTGCCTGGTTCTGTCCTCTTCCAATCTATTTGGGGATGTGGAGGGGGCAGAAAGCAGAGCAAGAAACAGGAAAGGCCTTGACTTTCTACAAACACTGTTCATCAACAGCTAAAACATTAGTGTGTTATCAACATTGTTTTGGTCATAAATCTAAAACACAGCACCGTACGAGCTGCGATGAAGAAAGTTAACTCCATCCCAGACAGACCCAGTACAGGAACTACCAGATCCAGCTGAGCACCTGTCATCAGCTCCCCAATTGTCTGTGCCAGGAAGCTGTCACTGACACATTGCAGAATCCTCCTGGATTGTTTGCACCTTGCCATGTCACCCCTGTAGCAGATACAAGGGTGGTTCAACTCTTCCAGGAAGACCTAGCCCTGTGAACATGAGGCTTCTTCCCGTTGTCCAGAGAAGGCCTCATCTATTTATTCCTGATCAGGCAGCCTGTAGCAGACACCCACCCCGATGTCACCCACACTGGTCTGCCCTTTAACCCACCCGTGAGCTCTCAGCTGGCTCATCACCTGTCCCCAGGCAGAGCTCCGTGCATTCTTGCTGTGCTATAACATAAAGGACAACTCCCACTCCTTGCCATCCTGGCCTGTCCCTCTTGAAGAGCCTGTGTCTATCCACGGCAGCATGCCAGTCTTGTGAGTTCTCGAAATATCCAAGCAAAGCAAAGCAAGTCTGTTTGGAAACTTCTTTGCAATCTTCTGGAACTATTTTGGTTCCAGAGAATCAAGAACAAATGAAATCATGGGGAAAAAAAAAAAAAAAAGGAAACCATTAACAAGGTAATTCTTGAACAAGTGAAACAACTATTTTCAGATATCAGAGATTGCTGTGAGAAAAGTCTTATCAGTTAGGTATCTCCAACATCCACTGTGACTTATTAAAAAAAAAAAAAAGACTGCAGGAAAATACATTATAAAAATCTGTGGAGAATCAGGGTTCCATGACTCTGTTAAGCCTTGATACAGTCGTATAGTAGAAACACTGACCCTGGAGAGGCAACTGCATATTGAAGTTAAATGAGAAGCACACTACATGGTTATCCAGCCCATTGTCAAAGTAGGGCAACCGCCTGCCCTTCTAGCTTTCTTACTCTATTACATAAATCTGTGAGGCAATTTATGACCTATTTATACAAGCACATTGTTTTGCGTGACTTGCTGAAGCAAGAGCAAAGGCCTTCATCTGTCTCAAGTTCAGCAACACCTCCAGCCACGATACCTTCTAAATACTAACATAGACACTAAATTACCGCAACTGGCAATCTTCTTACAGTATTTTTTCTCTCCCTTGTCTCAGCTTCTTACCTTCTAATCTCCTTGCATACAAAAGCTTGACCAAGAAAGATACCGCCTTTTGAGATAAAGTAGTATTAAAAGTAGTAAATCTTGAATTAATCTGCACAGCCAGGGGAAGAGCCTTTCTGATCTCAGTTAGACAAGAATTCCAGTGAAGTGATTCTATCACCTTAAACCTTCTCCTAAGTCATTCTACTTGCAGTAGCCCTGTCTTCAGGACTCTTTTAATTCTATGCCAGCCCTTTCTAAAAGCACCCACAAACACATACCTGTAAGTATACACTCATACTTCCAGTGTGATAATATTTATTTTCTGAATGCAGGAGACTTACCTTGAATACTACTCTTTGTACTATTTACTTCTGCACTTACTCTTAGTGCATCTAAGCCCTTCTAGAATGAAGGAGCTAATAAATGAGAACAGAGAAGTACCTTGAAGTGCTTTCCACATTGTGGTATGCATCCAGCAGGCAAAAATAGACCTGACTCCTCTTCAGAGGGCTTTAACAAAGGTTTTAAGTGTTGTTCTACCTACCACTGAACCAGGTGAAGCTAGAGATTCCTCTCAGGTCTGTTGATATATAAACTTATGTGACCCCACCCTAGTTCACTATTTATCAAAGTGGTTGGGTTAGAGACACAAGCATCTAGAGGTATTTAAATAACCAAACCATTTAATAGACCCAATTCTGAGAGCAATCACAGATACAGTGTGGGGTTTGGGCAAATACTAACCTCCAGTTAACGAGGCAGGACAGTAACCTCTAGCTGGGGCAATAGACTTCATTTAGCTGCTGCTGGAACAGCCAGCCTGTCTGACTGCAGTTGTACAGCAGCATTTGCCCTGCCTTCCCAGCCTTCAGACAGTTAACTGCATTTCAGTTGCAGCTTTGCTAGGTCAAGGGACCCCTTCACCCCCTTGACCATAAAAATCCTCTGAAAGCTGTTGCCCTCAATTCTGCCGGCCCAGTCTTTCAGTCACACTCTCTTTCAGTTTGGGCAAACCAAAATGGACCTGCAAAGACCTGTCATCGAAAGCGAGTGGGCCTGGCTCATTTCAACACAGGTTGGGGAGCAATCAGACAAGTTACACTGGCAGAACCTGGGAGGTGGAAATCTATGGTGGGGGTGGTAATGAGCAGCTGGGGGTGTTCCAAGTGTTCTTCACTCAGCATTGCTACAGCCAGAACTAGCCATGCGAACACAGAAAACCAGCTGCCCTGAGCATCCTCTTTGACTGATGGAGAGAGCTGTGCAGCTCTAAGAGGTACTTCATCCTGCTAAGGTTCTGAATCACCCTTTGAAATTGCAAAACCCACATAAATATTGGGAAGAGATTAATAAATCTAGGTTAATATTTTCCTGATAATGTAGAGTTGCGTTTCAATCACTATCACACTTCTCTGAAATATGACAGCTGATTGGCAAAAATAGGGAAGAGTTTCCTTTAAACTTTAAAATCAAGTTTAATTTTAAGGCAAATTTCGGTAAGTGATAGGTCCTCTGCTAACATACAGTGAGAAAAAACCCCCCAAACTGCTGACTTATTTCTCTTCCACCACATTCAGCCCAACTGTCAATAATCCGTAAGAATTTATCTGTAGGGAATATTATAACAGGTTAAACCAGATCAGCTAAAATTTAATAGTTGTTTAAAAAATTCTCTAAATGCGCTGAGTATACATTTATTTACTTTGGTAGAAGGTAAATGTTTTTTTTTTGGTGTAGACACTGTAGTTCGTCTTAGTTGAAGATGCGGTGAGTCCATCTTGACTAATGACAAAATGCTGCTACAACAATAGTATTTCTGAGCTTGTCATCTAATGACACTTTAAACAGCTCAAGCCAATGCTCTTAATGTTCTGTTGAAATTCTGGACCAGCTAAACAAAACGAGCACTTCTGTGTCCCCTAGCTCTTTTCAATCTTTGCTTAGAGTTCCTCTGCAATCAGTTAATCTTCCTCAAACTGGAAAAGTGGGAAGCATACAAGAGAACACAAGCTGTAGCTGCAGTGGTCTGGCACAGAGTTCCAGAGATTACAGCAATGAGATTGCTCTCGTCTCTCCTTTACACTGAGGCTGCATCAGACACTGGGTAAGAGTCTGCTGTTAGATGTTAAATATTAATTACTCTTCTGTAAGTTTGCATGAGCGTTGTAGAGGTTAGTTTATTAGCTATTTTGTAGAAAGGAAGTAGTGTAAATATATATTAATTAAGTCTTTCCATCTTCCTTGAGTATGTTTTCCTGGGCTAACTGTGCTTTTCTATTTTTGTGTATATTTCATGATAAATATGTCAATAAATAATTGATTGAGCTGACAGGAAGAAAAAGACAATGCAGTGGAAACCTTGTCAAATAAGGCCTTTAAATAGCCAGTGTAATTTAAATGGGAAATCCTAAATCAAGTGCTAGATAATGTAGTAAGTAAACATATTAACCAGTAAGTAAACATATTAACCAGCCACAAAGTCATTAATTATGCTTGTTGATATATCAAAGTCTAGTCATAGCAGTCAACAAAGGCATGAGGAACAGTTAATGAAACTCAGGAAATGAAGGTAGTATATCATTTTATGGACTTTATAAATTACAGCTTCTAAACACTTCTTCAAAAAAACGTTTCCGGAGTGCTGCTTTAGGTCGTTGTTGAAAAATATGTTTTATTCTCAATTAGACCTAACCACTTAGGAGATTTAGAGGCATTAATGCGCAGAGAATGCTTAAAGTTCAGGAATGCATGATAGAACTGTTGTTGGAAGAGTGGTTCTGTACATTAAACAATATATAGTCATTGTACCGAAAAAGCACTTGTTAGGGAAATTTTATCACTATTTAAAAAAATCCCCAAACGTGTATATGCATGCAGGCAGGATGTTTATGGTATATTCTAATAAGATACCTTTTTAAAAATTTTGTTCTGTTAAATATGGCTGTATTTACAAACCCCTTTTTTCTTTACAGCATAC